GTTAGTGTCACTCCCTGGATCTCTGGATCCTCTAGTGGGTTTGGGGGGGACGGACTATAGTACTACTTTGTGTTTCAGGGACTCCGAGCCAGCAGTAGCATCTGAAACTTGGGGGCCGTCTCATGTCAGTGTCAGGCCCTGATGTGAGGCACACCGTGAGGAGGGGGGATTGGGCGCCCCAACAGCAGGGATTGGCTCCTAGCTGATCAGTTGTTAGTCACTTAGAAGGCACAGCTGTGGGAGAACTTTCAGCCCTGTCATCCTGGCTCACAAGTCATCTAGTTCTACATGCTCAGTCCTGCTGCTTCATTCATAATTGTTATCAGAAGAGGGATCAATTTCTGATGTCACCCTGACCCCTACCGGCACCCGTTCACCAGGATCCCTACTGCCCATGTGTAGGGGAGGGGAAGGTGCTACCTTGAAGTGCTCGGCATTCGGTGGAGAAAGCACCATTGGATACAAACCCTTCTCTCAAAGCAGGGATTTGGTCAGTGAAGAGGTCCCCAGTCCCAGTGGAGTGATCGGCTGATGCTCACATCCGAGACAGAGACCACTCATCCCATACCCATTTTGGGCACTGGGCAACCTAGTCCAGCCAGTGGAGAGCAGGAGAGCCCAGCTGGAAAGAGCAAGCCCCTCTCCACCAGCATGGGGGAGGCGGCACTGGGCAGAGAGAACGGGGTGGTTTTTGTATGTTAGGCACTTTGTTCATCTAGCTCCCCGTCCTCCTCACTTTGTGGAGGTTCCCCCTTCGATCTCCATTCCAGACCCTCCGCCACCCCTACGCTCTCTCTTGGCTGCCTGCACCCCATCTCTATCCAAGGGGAGTCAGTCGCCCTCAAGTGCTTGTCTCCCAGGAGTCAGAGGGTGACGGGTTACAGGTTCCTCAATCACAGAGCGGAGCAGATCCCCAAAGGGGTCTTCAGCCAGGGCACATCAGTGATCAGCACGACTTACTCAGCAGAGAGCATGTGTGACGCTCCCCGGGGACACCCAGGATTCTGGGGCATGTTCCTGCCACCCATCCTTAGCGTGAGGAAGCCTGGTCTGTGCTTGCTGGGGGCAGCTCCCTGACTGCCTGGTCTCAGCCACACAAGCCCTCCCCTCCCCGCCCCTGCAGGCTGAGCTGGCGCTGGCCTCTCAGGTAGCAAGGAGGGGACGCTGCTGTCACTGAGTCCCCGGGCGATGCTCTGGAACTGCTCCCCACAAAGCCAGTCAGGACTTTGGGGAGCCTCCTCTCCCTTGGAGCAGACTGTCTTCAGGGCAAGAAGCTCACACGGCTTCACCTCCTGGATCTCTCCTGGGAACATTCAGCATATGCCCCTCCGTGCGCTTCCCGCAGCGAGTCCGCCCAGGCGGGGTCCTGGGGAAGCCAAAGGGTTCTGCACCCCCCACTTCACAGTCAGACGTGACTCTCAGCCAGCCAGTAACACAGAGGTTTATTAGATGACAGAAACACGGTCTAAAACAGAGCCCAGTGAGCACGTCCCCGCCAGGCCATGCAAACAATGAGCAGCAGAGATCTCACTGCCGGGGAACCCAGTGGGACCAGCGTCCCCTCCTTGGTACCTGAGGGGGCAGCTCCTGCCCAGGGACAGCTCAGTCTGCAGGGGCGGAGAGGGGAGGGGAGGGCTTGTGTGGCTGAGGCTGGGGGTGTCGGGGGGCTGCCCCCAGCAGGCACAGACCAGGGTTGTCTGCACTAAGGGCAGGTGGTAGCCACGTGCCTCAGAGCCCCGGGCACCCCCTGGGGAGCATCACACACACCAGCTGGGATCTGGTCCCATTGACTCCAAAGGAGCTTGTGCTCGTTACATTGATCTGGATCTCCCCATAGACTCCTTTGGAGATTTTGCTGATTCTCACCAGCCGGGATCTCGCTCATTGCTAGCGAAGACTCTGAAACCAGCCCCTGGTCCCACTGGGCCCTTGGGCTGTTTTTTAAACCAATGTTTCTTCTGTGTCACAGGGAGGATTTGCACAGACGGGGAGTGAGGGGGATGGGGAGGTTTTCCAATCCCCAAACCCTGACCCTCTGTGATGGGTATTGACCCTGCACTGGCACTACGAGGTTTAACAGGCACTGGAGAGCCTGTTGCATCAGAATCCTGCCAGGTGGTGACCCCCAAATTGCCCCCATGTCTGGTCTCCCTCAGGCCCTGGTGTCAGACAAGACGTGGTGGGGTTGGGCTCCCCAACAGCAGGGAGAGGCTCCCAGCTGATCTGTAAATTTGTCATTTAGAGGGCACTGCTTTGGGGAAGCTCACAGCCCTAAGCACTGCGATGGGGAGCTCGCTACATTGTCCAATCTAAGTCTCCAGCCCTGCCACTTCATTCATGATTATCATCAGGAGATGGATCAGTTAATGACATCTTACCCAGTCCCCATGCGGGCACCAATACGCTGGAGAGGGATAATCCACTGTCTTCTGCTGGGTAATGTGGGCACAGTGCAGGGTTGGAGCTCAGGGAGGTACAGGGTACAGGGAGGTTCCCATAGAGAAGTCTCCATCCCCCTCTAATTCCTGAGATGAATTTGACCTGGTAACTTCTGCTCCTCACCTCCTAGGACCTTCCAGAGATCCCGGACGGGTTTGACCTTCTGCTGTATCTAACGGTAACCCCTGTTTTCCAGACTCCCCTGTGTCAGACACTAAAGTTTGGCATTATAATGGCACTGCTGGAGGGAAGCTCACAGCCCTGATCCCTGCTGACAGGACCCAATTCTAAGTCTCCTGCCCTGCAGCTTCATTCATGATTCTCATCAGGACATGGATAAATTTGTGGCGTCTTACCCAGTTCCCCTGCCGGCACCAATACACCAGGATCCCCTATTGCATATGTGTCTGAGAGGGGAAGGTGCTACCCTAAGTTACTCTGCACCCATGGGTGAAGGCACCAACGGATGCAAATTTTTCTATGGAAGATTTCTGAAGAGGTCCCTGACCCCTGTGGCGTTATCGGCTGAAGCTCACAGCTCAGACAGAGACCTCCCATATTCCTGGTGTGCACTGGGCAAGCCAGTCCAGCCAGTGACTCCCACACAGAGAGGCCCTGCCTCCCGCTGGGTAACATGTGAGCACAGGGCAGGTTTGGGGCTCAGTGAGGTGCAGGGAGTTTCCCACGGAGAAGTCTCCATCCCCCTGTAATTTCTGAGATGAATGTAACCTGGTACCATCTGCCCCTCACCTCCCAGATCCTTCCAGAGATCCCATCTGGCTGTGATCCTTCTTCTTTATGTAACACTGACCCCTGTTTCCAGACCCCACCCCCGTGAACCCGTCCCTCTCCCTGCGCCCTGAGCACCCCATGTACCTCCCCAGAGAGTCTGTGACATTCACACACTTCACTGCCCCGGGGTTCATCAGGGGTGAAAGTAAGTGCAAAGAAGGGGCAGGGCCTCGGGCAGAAGGGGCAGAGCTGGGGGAGTCAGCGTCCCCCAGCCAACCCATCCGCACTGCCCAGGGCTCCAGTGGCAATTTAAAGGGCCCAGGGCTCCAGCTCCTGCTGCGTTAGTGTCAGCGTCGGCCAGAGCCCCGGGCCCTTTTAAATCGCCGGC